TGTATATGTGTTTGTGTATATATGTGTGTGTATGCATATATATATATATATATATATATGTGTGTGTGTGTGTGTGTGTGTATGGATGTATATATGTGTGTATATGTATGTGTTTGTGTGTATAGATATATCTATGTGTGTGTTTGTATGTGTGTATATGTGTGTGTATACATGTGCGTGTGTATGTATATATATATATATGTGTGTATGTGTGTATATGTGTGCGCGTGTATATATGTGTGTGCACGTATGTGTGTATGGGGCGGGGGAGTCATATAAGGCTATAGGAAACGGGAAAAGGCGAGGAGGCGCCGCCGACTACGATGTCGTCCACGTATCTCAGGAGGATCCGGATCCGCTCGGTCCCTCGGAAAATCCCCCCCAAAAATCCCAGATCCCCCCACAAAATTCGGGATCCGCCCCGAAATCCTCGATCCCACCCCCCAAGAAAATTGGGGTCCGCCCCCCTGGATCCTTACTGGTTGTCGATCTGCTCCTGCCGCGCCCCGATCCCGCCCTGCTCGTCCGGAAGGTTCTCCCGAGATCCCGACTGGGCCGGATCCAGTTTCTTGACGTAAGCGGCAGGAACGAATCCCTGGCGGTCGTTGACTTCGACTTTCCACCAGTCCTGTGGGGTTTTGTGTGGGGCAGAAGGATTGAATGTGTGTAGGATATGCTATGGGGGCAAATCCTGGGGGGAAAGTGGGGTGAGATCCGAAAGAAAGCGGAACTGTGGGGTCGAATCCTTAAAAAAGCCCCACATCTATGGGGTGAAATCCACAACTATGGGGTGAAATCCTAAAGAGAGATCAAGAACTATGGGGTGAAATCCACAACTTTGGGGTCAAATCCTAAAGAAAGTCCAACAGCTATGGGGTGAAATCCTAAAGAAAGTTCAAGAACTATGGGGTGAAATCCTAAAGAGAGATCAAGAACTATGGGGTGAAATCCACAACTTTGGGGTCAAATCCTAAAGAAAGCTCAACAGCTATGGGTGAAATCCACAACTATGGGGTCAAATCCACAATTATGGGGTCAAATCCACAACTATGGGGTCAGATCCTAAAGAAAGTCCAACAGCTATGGGGTGAAACATCTATGGGGTGAAATCCACAACTATGGGGTCAAATCCGAAAGAAAACTCAAAAACTGTGGGGTGAAATCCACAACTATGGGGTCAAATCCTAAAGAAAGTCCCACATCTATGGGGTCAAATCCTAAAGAAAACTCAACATCTATGGGGTGAAACCCACAACTATGGGGTCAAATCCTAAAAAAGCCCCACATCTATGGGGTCAAATCCACAACTATGGGGTCCAATCCTAAAGAAAGCCCCACATCTATGGGGTGAAATCCACAACTATGGGGTAAAATCCTAAAGAAAACTCAAAAACTATGGGGTGAAATTCACAACTATGGGGTCAAATCCTTAAAAAGCCCCACATCTATGGGGTCAAATCCATAACTATGGGGTCCAATCCTAAAGAAAACTCAAAAACTATGGGGTGAAATCCACAACTATGGGGTCCAATCCTAAAGAAAACTCAAAAACTATGGGGTCAAATCCACAACTATGGGGTCAAATCCAAAAGAAAACTCAAAAACTATGGGGTGAAATCCACAACTATGGGGTGAAATCCTAATGAAAGTCCAACAGCTATGGGGTGAAATCCAAAACTATGGGGTCCAATCCTAAAGAAAACTCAAAAACTATGGGGTGAAATCCACAACTATGGGGTCAAATCCTAAAAAAGCCCCACATCTATGGGGTCCAATCCATAACTATGGGGTCAAATCCTAAAGAAAACTCAAAAACTATGGGGTGAAATCCACAACTATGGGGTGAAATCCTAAAGAAAGTCCAACAGCTATGGGGTGAAATCCACAACTATGGGGTGAAATCCTAAAGAAAGTCCAACAGCTATGGGGTAAAATCCGCAACTATGGGGCAGAATCCTAAAGAAAACTCAAAAACTATGGGGTGAAATCCACAACTATGGGGTGAAATCCTAAAGAAAGTCCAACAGCTATGGGGTGAAATCCACAACTATGGGGTGAAATCCTAAAGAAAGTCCAAAAGCTATGGGGTGAAATCCACAACTATGGGGTCCAATCCTAAAGAAAACTCAAAAACTATGGGGTGAAATCCACAACTATGGGGTGAAATCCTAAAGAAAACTCAAAAACTATGGGGTGAAATCCACAACTATGGGGTGAAATCCTAAAGAAAACTCAAAAACTATGGGGTGAAATCCACAACTATGGGGTGAAATCCTAATGAAAGTCCAACAGCTATGGGGTGAAATCCAAAACTATGGGGTCCAATCCTAAAGAAAACTCAAAAACTATGGGGTGAAATCCACAACTATGGGGTGAAATCCTAAAGAAAACTCAAAAACTATGGGGTGAAATCCACAACTATGGGGTAAAATCTGAAAGAAAGCTGAACTATGGGGTGGAATGCTTTGAAAAAGCTGAACTATGGGGGGAAAAGCTGAAC